CAGCAGCAGCAGCAGCAGCAGCAGCAGCAGCAGCAGCAGCAGCAGCAGCAGACCCTGCTGCTGCGCGTCCCAGGCAATCTGCACGGCCTGCGTGGCGGAGAGAACGTCCCAGAGGCCGTCAGTGGCCAACACCATCAACTTGTGGCTGCTGCTGAGCCGCAGCACGCGCACGTCGGGCTCCGCACTCAGCCCGTAGGTCTTCAGGTCTTTGCCCTGCAGCACACACCCCCGCTGCTGCTGCTGCTGCTGCTGCTGCTGCTGCTGCTGCTGCGGGGGGAGGAGGGGGGGTTCGGCTGCTGCGGGGGCAGCCAGCAGCAGCAGCAGCAGGACAAGGGACGGGCAGCGAACCACCCAGGGACAACAACCACTACGCTCCTAAGCAGCAGCAGCAGCAGCAGCAGCTGCTGCTGCTGCTGCTGCAGCAGCAGCAGCTCGGGGTGTACGTACACCGAAGGCCCTGGAGTACTGGAGCTGCATGGGCTGTTCGCCTTTGGACTTCCGAAGGCCAAAATCGCCTCCCCTAATGAAGGGCTTGTTGTTGTGGTTGTGCAAATACTCCACGCTGCCCCCGCTGCTCTGCAGCAGCAGCAGCAGCAGCAGCAGCAGCAGCAGCAGCAGCAGCAGCAACAGCAGCAGCAGCAGAGGCAAAGGCGGGGCGTGCACTGTAGAGTTAAAGCGAAATAAAGGGAAATTCGGGAAGTGAAAAGAAATAAAATAAATGAATAAAACAAAATATATGAAATAAAACCAATAAATGAATAAAACAAAATACATGAAATGAAACCAAACTAAATGAATAAAAGAATCGATTAAATAAAAACGAAATAAATGAAACAAAACGAAATGAAAGAAATAAAATGAAATAAAACGAAATAAATGAAATAAAAGGAGTAAAATGAAATAAAAATGGAAAAGAAAAAAGAAGCAGATAGTTCTTTCTTGCTGCAGAGGCATGTTGGACTTGGAAGCCAAATAAAGCAAAAGAGGCCAAAATGGGGCGAAATAAAGCCAAAAAAAGCAAAATAAAACAAAATAAATGAAATAAAAACAAAATAAATGAAATAAAAACAAATTAAATGAAATAAAACAAATTAAATGAAACAAAACGAAATAAATGAAATAAAAGAAATAAAATGAACCAAAAATGATAAAAAATGAACAAAAAACCAAAGCAGTGCCGCAGTTCTTTCCTGCTCCTGACTTGCAAAACAGAAGGAAAATGAAGCAAAATCGGGCAAAAAAAGGCCAAAATAAGACGAAATAAAGCCGAATAAAAGTCAAATAAAACGAAATAAAGTAAAATAAAATAAATAAAACAAAATAAACGAAATAAATGAATTCAGTTGAACAAAAAAGGAGAAAAAATGAACAAAAAGCGAGGAAACGCCATAACTCTTCCTCCAGAGGCATGCTAAGCTTGCAAAACGGGAAGGAAATAACGTGAAATTGGGCAAAACAGGGCCAAAAAGAGCCAAAAAAAGCCAAATAAAACAAAATAAAAGAAATAAAACAAAATAAAAGAAATAGATGAACTAAATTGAACAAAAAAGGAAAAAAAATGGACAAAAAATGAAGAAATGAAGCAATTCTTCCTTGCTCCAGAGGCATGTTGGGCTTGCAAAACAGGAAGGAAATAGAGCGAAACGGCGCCAAATAGAGCAAAATAAAACAAATAAAACAAAATAAAACAAAATAAAACGAAATAAACAAAAGAAATGAACCAAATAGAACAAAAATCGAACAAAAATCGCAAAAATACCATTATTCTTTCTTGCTCCAGAGGCATGTTGGGCTTGTGGTCCACAGTGGCAAACTCGCCCTCCAAACCGCCGCCCTCGAGCTCGAGGCCGAGGGCGATGCGGCTGTCGCCCTGCGCGCAAACCCTAAACCCTAAACCCTAAACCCTAAACCCTAAACCCTAAACCCTAAACCCTCACGAGGTGCCCGATGGCCACGAAACCCCCCGCCATCACCGCAGTCACTGAAGTGCTGCTGGCGTAGTCGTTTTGCTGCAGCCTGCAGAGTTCTATGAGTTCTGCGTCAGCAGCTAAATACATGCAGCGAACTGCTGCTGCTAGTGCTTCGGGGAGTGCAGCAGCAGCAGCAGCAGACGCTGCAGCAGCAGCAGCAGCAGACTCCCCCGGCTCCTGCAGCAAAGCCACCACCCGCTGCCAGCCGCTGCTCGACAGCAAATGCGGCACCACCAAGTCCTTCACAGAGTCCGACGCAAAGTCCCCTGCAAACAAACCCTAAACCCTAAACCCTAAACCCTAAACCCTAAACCCTAAACCCTAAACCCTGCAGCGGCAGCCGCAGCTGCACTAGTGAGCTGCTGCGAGCGGCAGCAGCGGGAACACTGCAGCAGACTGCTGCAGCAGCAGCGTAACGAACAGCAGCAACTGCTGCAGCAGCAGCGTGGCGAACAGCAGCTACTGCTGCAGCAGCAGCACAACGAACAGCAGCTACTGCAGCAGCAGCGCAACGAACAGCAGCTACTGCTGCAGCAGCACCGCAACGAACAGCAGCAACCACTGCTGCAGCAGCAGCGCAACGAACAGCAGCTACTGCTGCAGCAGCAGCGCAACAAGCAGCAGCAACTGCTGCAGCAGCAGCGGAACGAACAGCAGCTACTGCTGTAGCAGCAGCGCAACGAACAGCAGCAACCGCTGCTGCAGCAGCGCAACAAGCAGCAGCAACTGCTGCTGCAGCAGCGCAACAAGCAGCAGCAACCGCTGCTGCAGCAGCGCAACAAGCAGCAGCAACTGCTGCAACAGCAGCGCTACGAACAGCAGCAACTGCTGCAGCAGCAGCGCAACGACAAGCAGCAACCGCTGCTGCAGCAGCGCAACAAGCAGCAGCAACTGCTGCAGTAGCAGCGTAACAAACAGTAGCAACTGCAGCAGCTGCTGCATGCAGCAGCAGCAGCGTAACGAACAGCAGCAACTGCTGCAGCGAACAGTAGCAACTGCAGCAGCAGCTGCATGCCGCAGCAGCAGCGTAACGAACAGCAGCAACTGCTGCAGCAGCAGCGCAACGAACAGCAGCAACTGCTGCAGCAACAGCGCAGCGACGAGCAGCAACTGCTGCAGCAACAGCCCAACGAAGAGCAGCAAGTGCTGCAGCAGCAGCGCAACAAAGAGCAGCAAGTGCTGCAGCAGCAGCGCAACAAGGAGCAGCAAATGCTGCAGCAGCAGCGCAACAAGGAGCAGCAAATGCTGCAGCAGCAGCGCAACAAGGAGCAGCAAATGCTGCAGCAGCAGCAGCAGCAGCAGCAGCAGCAGCTAACCAACAGTGCCGTCGAACACCCCAAAGAAAGCAGCATCATTGCGGCCGGGAATCAGCGCAGGGCAAACAGTAAAGCGATCTTCTTGGTGCTTCCGCCCCCCTGCAGCAGCAGCAGCAGCAGCAGCAGAGTGTGCAGCAGCAGCAGCAGCAGAGTGTGCAGCAGCAGCAGCAGAGTGTGCAGCAGCAGCAGCGAAAGCGTTCCCGGCGCGGCTGCAGCAGCTGGGGCAGCAGCAGCAGCTGCGAGGAACGGCAGAGGCAAGCCCATGCTTCAGAGCAGCACAGCAGCAGCAGCAGCAGCAGCAGCAGCAGCAGCAGCAACAGCAGCAGCAGCTGCTGCACCTATGTCCGTCTCAACGGAGACCTCAAACGAGCCGTAGTTGGTGGGGGGCATTGGCTCGTGCAGCGTTTGCGGCAGCTCTGCTGCTGCTGCTGCTGCTGCTGCATCTGCTGCTGCTGCAGGGCGTGCCATCTCTGTACAAGGAGGCTGCAGCAGCGGCTGCTGCTGCTGCTGCTGGGGTCGCCAAAGTGCTGCTGCTGCAGCTGCGCTACCTGACGGCCAAGAGCTGCTGCTGCTGCAGCACACAAACAGAGATAATGAGATTGCTGCTGTGGCTGCCCGCTGCAGCAGCATCGGCGAAAGATTTGCTGCTGCGTTGCACTGCAGCAGCAGCAACTGCTGCAAGAGAAACAGGTTGCTGCTGCGCCTGGCACGAAGAGCAAAGGAGGCTGCTGCTGCTGGTGCTGCTGCTGCCACCGCTGCTGCTGCTGGTGCTGCTGCTGCAACACCCCACGTCCGCTGCTGCTGCAGACACGGAAGAAGCACCAATTCAATTTTGCTGCTGCGTCACTGCCGCAGACGCAGCAACAACACGGCAGAGTGCTGCAGCAGCAGCAGACGGAGCATGCAAAGGCTCAAGCCGGTGTCAGCAGCAGGAGCAGCAGCAGCAGCAGAAGCAGCAGAAGCAGCAGCAGCAACACACCTGGAGAAGCTGCGTTTGCCCCTGCTGCTGTTTGCCGGTAGAGATCTGACTTGCAGTAGAGATTTTCGGTGCAGCCGTAGTTGCTGTTGGCAGCAGCAGCAGCAGCAGCAGCAGCACCGCAGCAGCAGCAGCAGCAGCCGGAGTCAACAGGTACAGAGGCAGCGGCAGCGATGTATGTCTTATAAGCCGCAACAGCAAAATGTATACACCTCAGAAAGCTGCAGCAATTCCTAACGTGCTGCTGCTGCTGCTGCCGCCGCCGCAGCAGCAGCAGCAGCAGCCCGCGAGGTGCGCAGCAGTAGCAGCAGCAACGGCAGCAGCAGCAGCAGCAACAGCAACCAGACTACCCCCAACCTCAACCGTAGCCGTGCTGCTGCAGGGCTGCTGCTGCTGCTGCTGCACTTGTTGCTGCTGCTTCCAATTGTTATATTAAATAAAACACTAGTTAATTTTTCATTGTCTGTGAGAGCCAGGAGCAGCGCGTATTTGCTGCAGCAGCAGCAGCAGCTGCTGCTGCTGCTGCTTCTGCAGCTGCTAGGCAGCAGCAGCGGCGCGGCTGTCTCTGGGGCTGCGATCAGCAGCAGCAGCAGCAGCAAAATCCTTATTGTAATTCCTTCGAAAGCTGCAGCGGCAGAAACCAAATGAGCAGCAGCAACAAAAAGCCGCAGCACATCAGAAGATTTGCTGCAGGTAGATTGACAGCAGCAGCAGCAGCAGCAGCAGCAGCAGCAGCAGCGTGTTGTTCGAGCAGCAACGGCTAGGCCACCCCACAGGTCTGCTTTTATATTTTCGTTCCCGCTAGTTCCAAACCCTAAACCCTAAACCCTAAACCCTAGATTGACTTCTGGCGCTTCGCGCGGCTCTCAGTATGTCCTGCTGCCTGGCCAGCAGCAGCAGCAGCAGCAGCAGCAGCTTGCGGCGACTGTAGCTTGAGTCGAAGCAGCAGCAGCTGCAGCAGCAGCAGCAGCTGCAACGCGCAGCAGCAGCAGCCGAGTTGTTGTTCCACCGCTGACAGACACACACACTCGACTTTGCAGCAGCAGCAGCAGCAGCAGCAGCGGGAATCGACAGCAGCAGCAGCAGCAGCAGCAGCAGCGGAGATGTCGTGGCTAGCTGCAGCAACAAAAGGCCAGGCCGTGGGCGCTGAGGAGCAGCACAAGCGCCATGGGAAGGGCGGCGCAGCAACAGCAGCAGCAGCGGGAGCAGCAGCAGCAGCAGCAACAGCAGCAGCAGCAGCAGAGCTCACGGCGGCCTCAGTCGTTGCTGAAGCAGCATCAGAAGCTCCCGATGAAGAGTCCAGGGCTTTGACAGCAGCAGCAGCAGAGAGTGCAGCAGCAGCAGCAGCGGACACCGCCTCTGCAGCAGCAGAAGCAGCAGCAGTGGAAACAGAAGCAGCAGCAGCAGCAGCAGCAGCAGCAGCAAACCTCACCCCGTTTTCTCGTGCATCTTGCAGCAGCAGAGGCAGCCTCAGCAGCAGCTCTGCCTGCCCCTCAGTGCTGTCTCCTGCTGCTGCTGTTGCTGCTGCTGGTTCGTTTTCCCCTGCAGCAGCAGCAGCAGCAGCAGCAGCGGGCCCCGACGGAACCGTCTCGCCAGCAGCAGCAGCAGAGGAAGCAGCAGCAGCAGCAACAGCAGCAGCAGCAGCAAGAACTGTCTGGATGGCCCACAGCAGCAGCGCAGTTCGCCTTGAGCAGCTGCAGGAACTCAAAGAAGAAGTTTTGGTCAATAGAAAGAAGCGGCTGCTGCGCCGGCAGCAGCAGCAGCAGCAGCAGCAGCAGCAGCAAGTGGCAGAAGCCAGTCTGCAGCAGCAAGCGAGGCAAAAGCAAACGCTGCAGCAGAGAAGGACGCAGCAGCAGCAGCAGCAGCAGCAGCAGCAGCAGCGGAGCGCTGGGGGGCTGCAGCTCAGCTATGCAGCAACACCTGGAAAGGCCGTTGACTACAGGGGAAGGTAATAACTGCTGCTGCTGCTGCTGCCTTTGCTGCTGCTGCTGCTGCTGCTGCATTTGCTGCTAGTGTTGCTGCTGCTGCTGCTGCTTTTTGTCCTGCTGTAGATTCTTTTGTTTGGCATCGGCTGCAGTGGCTGTTGCTGCGTTTGCTGCTGCAACTGTGGCAGCTGCTGCTGCAGCTGCTGCCAGTCCTGCTGCTGCAGCACCCGCTTCGCTGCTGCTGCTGCTGCTGCTGCTGCTGCTGCTGCTGCTTGTTTGCTGCACCTGCTTGGTTCGGCTTTGCTGCTGCCGGGGAAGCGCCCGCTGCTACAGCAGCAGCAGGGTCAGCAGCTGGTGCTGTTTCACTTCTGCTGCTGTTGCTGTTGCTGCTGCTTCTGCTGCTACTGCTGCTGCTGCTGCTGGTTACTGCTGCTGCTGCTGCTGGTTACTGCTGCTGCTGCTGCTC